ATGCGTCCCCGCTTGCTCGTTGGGCGCCTCCCTACAACGACCCGATATTAGCTGCCTTTCTTTTCCAACAGTAACTGCACGCACCTCGCACCGTATGGGTCTGGTTTGTAGTGCTGAAGAACTAGCGCTTAGCAAATTATCTTGAAGCAACTAGTTCTTACCTGTTGCGACTCTGCGCGTGTCTCGGCGCACTTCCGTCCTGAGCGCCGTGCGGGGGTTGGCTGCTGCACGAATGCGGACAAACATCAGCGGGGTGGAGCGACAAAAATATTGTAGACAAACCTTGTCTTGTACTTGGTTCTCGATGGTGAAGACCGCGACAGTACAGCGTCGTCGTGCGCGCGCACATCGCTGCGCTGCCGAAGCCGTGTGCTGTGATAACGTGCTGAGTGCACTAGTCGGTGGTCACCTGCTGAGAACTGAAGCTGAGAGGAAGGGGAGAAGGAAACACTCGCCTCTGGACTGATCCACTAGCCGCGTCAAACAAAAACTGAACAGAAGTAAATAGTGGCTAGAAATGGGGAAGGTGTAGACGTACTGACGCATCGACTGGCGCACCGCATTGTTTCCGGCTCGAAGCGTTGATTCGAGCGTACAACATGATCCTACAGGCCATCGGAATCGTCCTGCCAGAAACTTCGCGAAGATACGATGAGAATCAAAGTGTTCGCTGTTGTGTCCAGGGATATGGTAGACGAGGTGTGAGTGAATATTAGATGAGAATCCCAGCTAGGTGTGCAGCCAGGAGCCCAAGAAGAAGAGCTTCAATGTCGGCCAGAGCACCTGCTTGACCATTGGGCAGATCGTTGCCCAGGTCGTTTCCAGAGACTCTCGAGTGTACAGCAGTAGTAGATTTAACGAAGTAGAGCGCGAAGAACCCCAGCAGACACCGTTAGGCTGCGCGGAAAGTAGCCCAAAAGCCCGTCGAAAGCGCCACCAATTTGGACAGTCTTGGACTTGTTTGAGAGCCGCAGAGATCTGAAGACAGTAGAGGGCCCTATCGACGCGAATCTGAGCACGGCGATGGCCAGCGAGGACAAGAGGACTCGCAGAGACGATGGGAGCGCGGTGACGTGGTGGTGTGGAAGACAAAGTCAATTTGAAACTCCGACTCCGGTGTGCCCCGAAGTAGCCGCCGGAAGAAGAATAAAGGAGTCAAGAACGCTGCGAACGTTGCGAGACGGGCACCCCGGGCAAGATTTCCAAGCGACTCTCCTTTTTTCTTCATAAATTTTCAGAGGACAGCATATTTCTCAGATCTCAGGCTATCTCGGCATACCGGCCCATATGGACTTTTCACTGGGCTTCAAGTTCCACCTTGATTCTGTGTTTTTCGTTTTCAGCAACTCCGTGGGTGTTGCGACAGTGATCTCTCGCACATTTGGGCTGGACATTCAACATAGTTAACAAGTGTGTTACTATTACCCCGACAGTTACAAGGAAGTTCGAAAATAAAAATAATTTAATGGCCCAGCGCTGAACCGCTGAGAGCTCACCAATGCAAGAATTTATCTCGGTCAGTCGATCTCGGAGTAATTCGTCATGGGGGAGAGGAAGCGCAAGAAGGAGAGATGGGAAAGGGACGAAGACCGGCGCAAAAGTGGGAGAAGGGAGGGACGCAGATGGACTGGCAGAGGGAGGGGAAGGGGCGCAAATGAGGGAGAAAAAGGAGGGCGGGTGAGACGGAGGAGGAGAAGGGAGGCGAGGCATGGGAGATGGAGGCATGGGGGAGAAGGCACGCAAGGAGATGGAGGCAGGGGCGGAGAGAGAAGAAAGAGCGAGGAGGGGCGGATGGGCACGATGAGGAGGGCGAGGGGAGGAGGATGGGAACGGAGCGAGAGAGAGTGGTACATAGGGGATGGATGAATGAGGGCGGGGGAAGAACGATGTGGTGTGTGGGGTGTGAGGGAGGATGGGAGATTGAGCGGCCACCATGCCCGCCGCCGTCTTCAGAACAGGATGCTCCCCCTCCCCCCCCAAAAGAAAAGAAAAAAGCCAAGTTGGGGTAGGCAACGCACCGATGGTGGGCGACCCGGGTGCGGCAGCGGGCGTGGCGGTGGGGTCCTTGAGGGCGTAGAGGGGCGAGACGACGGAGCCAGTCGTGCAGCGCGTGTGGCCGTCCTGCGTGATGCATCCATCAGCATCGATTGCGGGTGGCGATTGCAAGCCGACCTTGAGCCAATGCAGCTCCATGTCGTCCGACGTGCGGCATGCCCTTCGAGCTTGGCTGATTCACGCACAGCACCGAGGGAATACAAACATACAAGCGATTCCTGTCGATTGCATATGTAGCTGGCATCGTCTGCGCGGGCTCGCCGCCATCGGGGTCCATCGCAATTCAAGTCGAGAGGGAGAGACACCGTGGGAAGGCGCTTCAAAGACTCCGGCACGCCCCGAGAAGAGACCGGCACGGCATCGCGGAACACGCAAACGGCGTCCTGGGCTGAGGACGACAACACGGAGAAAGCTTGCTAATTGTCCTCGGCACGCGGCGCATGCTTGTGTCTGTTAGCTTGAACTCGACCTTCAAGATCCCCCTTGAGCTCCTAACATCACACACCCTCCACTGTTTCCCAATTAACCCAACTTTCAACGTACCGCCCACACCCCCGGTTCGCCCAAAAATAAAAATAATCTTGGTTAACACCCTCTCTTTGATAGCATATGTACGTATTTCCTTCCACTCCGCTCAATCCCCTCCCCTGTCTCAACTATGTTTTTGGACCTGAGCGCTGACGTCGTGGGTTCAGTCTGTCCTATTAGGTTAGCAGAATCCGACGTGCGAACAAACGCCAAAACAAGCACCGGGACGTGCGAACGAGCCTGACGTCGGGACTCAGGCGTGCGAACGGGCCTAGCGTCCGGGGCTCCACCTTTGGCTTGGTACATATGAGAAGTGCAGACCCAGAAACCCGGTGTGTGTATGTGAAGTCAAGTCTGTTTTGGTGTGAATCTAAGTTTAAACCTGGAGGGATCAATCACCGGTACATACCGCAAAAACACGCGCCGCAGGACTGGTGTACGTTTGAATAGACAAAGAGAAAAATGAGGAGCGTATGGTACTGTATGGCGCCGCAAAAGGCGGGTCCAGCGGACGCAAAGCAAAATCCAATCCACTATTAAGATCTTGAATAACATAAAACAGAATCTACTATATAATATCAGGGTGCCAGACAAACGTCAATCATTTTCACGCGATCCCATCACGGACAGCGCCGGAAGGTGGTCTGACGTCACCGGATGAGCCCCTAACTCGATGTCAGTGCTGCTGCTGCTCCGCACTTTATGTGCGGGGCCACGAGCTGCTATCTGCGAATCTGATCAAGGTGCAGATCAACAGGCGGGCATTAAAGTGTGCAGGACTGAGGAGATGTGAGACCCAAGCAAGAAAGGATGAATATCCATGTTGATTCTGCTGCCGATGTCATCGTTGAACGTGGATGATGAATTGTCTTTCTGCGACAGGAATATTGATCAAAAATAGGGAGATCCGGGTCGGGAGAATCTGAGCTGGAGCTTATTCGGAGACTGATACCGTCAAAATCTACGAGTGAATTGGGTGAAGGGGCCGCTGGGAGAGGTCCGGGAGACGCGAAAGATTAGAAGGTGGATCGGCCAGAATTTCTCTAAATTCCGCCAGAGGTGGAGTGCAAACACAACAAATTACACTTTACAGTTCTGAAAAATAACCAAGATGACAAACAAGGGCATTTTATTCCATTGCTGAATTTAAGTGTGCTGATTGTGTGTTAAAAGAACAAAGAGTCATACAGGAAAAATGGCACTGGTGATACTAAACATGCACAGTCAAGGTGAATCATAAAAAAAAAATCTCGAACTTGAAGAAACCAGTAGCTTGAACCATGCGCAGCATATTTATTCGAAAAAAAAAGCTAATTCAACAGATAATTAGAGTGGACACAGTCAGGAACCGGCCATGGACGAAGTGTTGCAAGAAATGAAAGACGAGAGGTTGTGCAAAGTCGGATGAGCAGTTGCTGGATGTGAAATTCCTACTGAGACAGGTGGCTGCTAGGACGAGCCGTCACACAACTGACAGCTGGGCTGGGATATAGATAAGCAGCAACTCAAGAAGAACTTCGGGCACGGCAGTTGGCAGCCAAAACACGCTGCTATGCAACTCAAGATCGGCCTCAGACCGTTTCCCAACTGGGACGAGCAGAAAGATCTGGTAGTTCAGTGGGACTTGAGCCCGCTGCGAGACTGGAAAGATTGTAAGTTGTGCAACTGGGGATGAGAAATTGTTTGAGTAGAAGTTCCCACTGTGCCAGTCAGTAGCTGGGACATGCCGTTGCTCAAGTAGAGAGTCGACGGAGCAGTTCTCCAAGGGGACAAGCTGTTACACAACATAATGGCTGAATGAGTGAGCAATGACTCAAGGGGAAATTTCACAAATGACAGCATGAGCTGTTACAGAACCACATTACAGACGATTGACGAAAGGGGTGGGTACTCTGCCCCCAAAATGTCAGGTTGAATAAACAGTTGGAGCGAGACAGCTCAAACAGCAGGTCGAGACAGACAAGCCGTTGTACAAACAAAATTCACACTGAGCAGTTCGCATCTGGGATAATCGGGGAGGGTACCAAAATACGGTTACACTAGCCGGTAAAATTAACTGTTTCCCCGTGAATTTATTCACGGGTAACTCTAGTAAAACAAAATAAGAACATCCCCAACACAAAAAAAAAAGTGTGATAGCAGTCATGACCCAGCCCTGATTCGAGCAGGGATTGCCTGCATCGCAGATATAAGGTAGATTACGACACAGCACCGGATCGTAGCATCCGAGATTTTGATTGGTTGAAATAAAAATAAAAATAAAAACAATGACTCAGCCCTAAGTTGAACAAGGGGTACCTTGCATACCATGCTCTTCTTCCCAAGATTGTACACACTACACCACTAGGTCCTCCTCTCAGTAGAATATGACACATGGCATCGGAAATTTTAATGATTGGTTGAATAAAATAAAAGAATGACCCAGCCCTGAGTTGAACAGGGATATCTCACAGACCACCAATAGATACATAATTGGATACAAGTATGTTGCCACTGCACCACTCGGTCCTTCTCTTCCTACTGTCCATCCTCATGACATCAGATTGGGTTGGCTGAATAAAATAAAACAATTCTACACAAGAAAAAGCATGACCCAGCCTTGAGTTGAACAGGGATCTCTTGCACAAACTTACTAATGCACAAATTACCTTCAGCAACTGTGTTACCATCACACCACCGGGTCCTTAACTTCAACAAAAATAACATTCAACTCAACCTCAATGGAAAAATGAAATTCACCGCAAAAATAAAAGTAATGACCCAACCCTGAATTGAACAGGGATCTCTTACATATCGTATTCCTGTCCATGTTATTGTACACAAGTATGTTTCCGCTACACCACTGGGTCTCTGAAAATAATAAACTAACATTCTAGCTGAACAAAATAATTAGAAACTGATAAAAATAAAAAGAGTGACCCAGCCCCGAATTGAACAGGAATCTCTTGCATACATCGTGGCAATTTTTATATTACATGTAAGTATGTTTCCGCTATAGCACTGGGTCCTTACCTTTCACAAAACCAATATTCAGCTCTCAAGTTCAATAAATTGGGTGTCAGAATTAATCCATAACACAAAAGCAAATAAATAAAAATGTGACCCAACCCTGAGTTGAACAGAGGTCTCTTGCATAATTCCAGGAACTCCACATACAACTGAATGCAAGTGTGCTACCATTACACCACTGGATCTTTCATATTTTTGAGAATAGTAAAATGAAATGAAATTTGATGGTTGAACTTTGAACACAGTGACCCAGCCCTGAGTTGAACTTATTCCTGTCCATGTTACTGTACACGAGTATGTTTCCACTACACCACTGAGTCCATTCTCCATGAATAATCATGTGCAACTGACCAAACTGTAACATAGTGAATTCCGAAACAAAATAAAACAAAACAGCCCTAAATTGAACAGGGATCCCTTGCATACAAAGCAGATTCTCAAGACATGATCAACAAGCATGTACCAATGCCATTACACCATTGGGTCTTTCCTTATTCTACTGAAATACAATTCAACTGTCCGCATCACTGACTCTGCGACAACACACAAGCACTCAGCCCGCACTTAATTGAGGCTCGATGGAGATTGACTAGATTTCAACCTCACCAGGCAATCCCACGACCAAGCTCGATCGTGGTCAGTCAGAACTCAAGAAACTAGAAGGTCGCCTTTTATATTCAAACTCCGCCATCAGCGGGATCAAACGTCACTTGTCTCAAACCAGTGCGGTGGTCCAACTTTGTACGAACTTGCCGCTGGATCCTCTTAGCTTCAGTTTCTGGCCAGGGTTTTCGTCTTATGTGTCAAACTTCTAGTCAAACTCGAGCCCTCCTGAAAGCTCTAAGCATTCATGACCATACGCCCAATGAGAGCTCGTCAGCGACGAGCGTTGACCTAGTCTCTCTTGACAGAAGCTTCAGTATGTCTGACTCGTATGATCCTCAATCGGGGCTACATTTAGACAGTTGAGTTCCTCCTCGGCGAATGCTCGGTCTCTCCAGCCTTCTAAAGCAACTCGTGACTCACGAATAAATTGACAAGCCTGCTCTGTACATAAACTCAAAGTCTTCCCTGGCGTTTCCCCGACAAACCCCCAGCAGAAATGCTCCTCCTAGCATCGATCGTGCTGCTCGTTGCGAGCGCACTCGCCATGGACGCACGCGAACAACCAGAAACGGTCGGTAAATCCGTCACGATCCCGCACACCCACCCCTTCATCTACTTCCACGGCCGCTGGGACGCGGCCCCGGGCACCTGGTGGTGCGTACGCGGCTTCACGCAATTTATTCATCCTCATCCTGACCACTGATTGTTACACAGGGCTGGTTCAGGCCTCAAGTTGCATGTGGCGCACCTCTCGTCGCTCCGCCTCAACCTCGGGGAACACACCACCGCGCCATTCGCGGCCGTCGGCGTCTCGCTGGACTATGGGGAATTCGTCACTGTGAATGTGTCTGCTGGGGCGAATGTGATTTCTATTCCCGGTAATGTTAAAGGGAATGGCGCGAGGTCGACCGTCGTACGCATAAACGTGCAAGGGTGGCAGAACAACCGCATGCATCTGGAGAGCATAACGCTCAATGAGGTATTTATTATTTCACCTCGATGCCTTCGTCGAATTCGATGCAAATGCGGATGGTGACTCTGCATGCAGGGCGCGTCGCTCCTCCCATACACCCCCGCCGACCTTACGTTTACCTTCATTGGCGATTCGCTGTCCGCGGTGAGCTCTTTTCTTATCGTATTCGCGTATCGCAGTACATCACTGAACCAGTATGTGCGTTTGAAGGGCCAATTCCTCCCGAAGGGCGTAGACCAGGCGTGGCCCTTCCTCGTGGGCGAGGCGTTCAAGGCGGAGCACGTCGTCGTCGCGCAGCCCGGCGCAGCACTTTCTGTGCGTGTTCTCCCTGTTCCATCCCTCTTACTCGTATACTTCAAGTTGCCGATGCCGTTTCTTTTCCAAACAGGACATCGTGTCGTTCGGGAACATGCACGGCGTGTCGTTCCAGTTCTTCCGGGTTCGTTCGTTCTTCTACTTTATTTCATTATATGGCGAACTTGCTTAATTGCACATGTACATATAGACGGAAGACACAGGCTATTTCTACACGACGGACCATAACTTCACCACCCCGTGGAATTTCGCGCGCGAGCGGCCCGCGCCAACGCATGTGGTTATACATATTGGGTGTGTTCGTTTCCACCGGTTAATTAATTAATTGACATTGAATAACTTCAGAGCCAATGACTCCGCGCAGAATATTACCAATGCGGGATTCGTCGAGGTGCGTCTGTCGACTGCGGGATAATGTTCACCTCCAGAAGGTGTATGGCTCACAATTATGAAACATAGGTCTACACCGCCTTCATCGCCCGCCTGCGCACTGTCTATCGCCACCAGCCCATCTTTGTTTTCACGCCTGTGGGTCCTTCTTTCCTTTCTTTCCTTCTTCTGTTATTATACTGCCATCGGACATTTATTCATCCCATTCATCCTTCCATAATTCCTTTCATGTCCTCACGCAAATCCAGTGGGGTTGGCCGGACTCCACGAATCCAGACGGGCCGTTCTCGCAGTACTACGAGGGGCAATATAAAAAAATAGTTGATTCCAGGTCTGTCTTCTCTCCTTCATCTACCTTGCCCTCTTTTTTTCTTTACTTGTCTTACATTACATCTCACCAATAATTTTGTTGTACTAGGCATGCACAAGGCGATAAGAACGTCTTCCTCGTCGACACGACCGGATGGGTCACTTTTGCGGATGTGTTTCCCGAGTACGCCTTGTCTCTTTTTTGTATAATCAATTTCTGAACTTGGCTGGTTGTTTTTCATTACTTTACAGAAACGTGCATCCGAACGTGCCGGGCCACGCGCATATCGCACAAAAGTTCCAGGCGTGGCTGGAGGACTGGGGCTTACGGCCGAATCGCGAGTGGGCTACCCCGGCGTGAAAGATTTTCGCGCGGCAATCGGGCTGTTCGTCGTGGCGCCTACATATGTACATATTATAAAAATCAGCTTTGCTTACACAGAACCCTCTCGTTTAAGGACCCCCCAAACTCCGCTCCCCTGTTCTGTTCAAGTCGTGAATCTAAAGGTCAGACTCCTGTTCCCCTTCGCTTCAGCCTCACGATCCTCCTCCAGCTTCTGCTGGTCCGTCAACTCCGCGTACTTGCGCGCATTCCGCCGGTTCAGATGTCGGTAATAATATTTTTGGACGATCCTACATTCCAAGCGGTCAATCAACGCTCAGACTCAGCTGTTACCAATCTCGAGGAGAACGCACCAGAGTATCGTGGTAAAAGCCGCAAACGCAATGTTGATGGAATTCCCGCGTTTGAAGTCTACGGCGTATCGTTGAATTTGAAAATGGCTAAGTACTTTATGAAGATCGTACATGGTGCGTCATCTGCTTGGTATATCTGGGATGCCCCTCGAGTTTTTTCACACGTCAGAGTCGAGTCCCACGGCGCAGAGAAGACACTCACAGACTCCGTAGATATTTGCGGCAAAGATAACCGCGCCCGAGGCGACACTGCGCTTCCCGATGGCGCTGTACAATAATCACAATTACTTCATTTTGCCTCAGTGCCCGCAAAATCAAGGATGACATGCCCTGTGTTCTCAGACATCCAGCCGATGTTCAGGGGGTGGTTGTATGGCCACGAGGCGACTACGATGGCCCCGAAATATCTGAGGATATTGGGTATTAATTACGACGCATGAACGCTAATGCCGGAACGAACTTGACGCCCCGACTCGCCGAGTCAGGCATTGCGCGGAGGAGGATCCACCCGACGAGCTGCCACGCCGCTGTATTCCAGGGGGTTGAGAAGAGAGTTGTGTTGTAACATGGATAAGAGTACTTACAACCGAAAGCCCCGTGGAAGCCCCGTTCGCGCACCTTGTCTGAATGGCGGATGACGGTGATCATGATTATGCATTGCAGAACGTAGGGCGGGGCGGTCAGTGCATTCGACACGAATACGTTGAAATGGAAGGACTTGATGACGGACGGCAGATCTGAGTTATAGTATATTAAATTTATTGTCAGGACAGTCACGACGGTTACAGTACGCACAGGTTCCGAGAGGATTTGTCGGAGTCAATGTGACATTCGACAATAGCAGGTGGCCCCAGAGGCTCAGGTCCGTCGCTGCGTCCTTGAAATCCGCACGCGTCACTCGTTTTCTAAGGCGCATATCAGAGGTGCAGGAGATAAAATGTTACGGAACGCACTCATATTCTCGCTTGGACTGGTCATCTCGTATTACGCGCGCCACGGCTATTTGAACTTGGCGCGGGGTAAACCAGGCTTTGCGTCCTCTCAGACCTCCCTTCGTGCTCGCCACATTTCGTGGGAGATAAAACCTAGTACATCGCGCCGTTTTGTTCAAATCAACCCGTTCAGCAGGATGAAAATGACAGACCATATGATGAAGGAAACGAACACAGTGATCACTCCGTCGACGATAAACAGCCACTTCCATCCCTCGAGTCCAGACCTTCCACGTAATTGCAAGAGGCCACTGGCCATTAGCCCACTGACAGCACTTGCAATGGCCTATGTAGCTCAAAGCGTCAGTCGAGATTCTTTAACTGCGATACATAAAACATACTTGAATACCCCAGAACCACGCCAGCCGTGTAGAAAGCTCGGTACCCTTGTAGAATCCACCAAGATATATCAAGGTGGCCGGGATAACGCCACCTTCCGTAATTGCTATAACTATAGCATGATAATTTCAGTGCCGTTTTCGCCGTGCACGTATTATATCACGTACATGTTCGAACGACCAGATAACCTGCCCTATCTTTGATCAACGCATGGGATAGGGTTACTAGGCCCCACGCGAACATCAGAGTCGGGATCCCTATGATACAAGTCAGTCGGCTATTTCAGAGTAAAATATACGAGCACTGACATCGGGAGGGTCCTACAATCTTGGCCATGACGGCGCCCGAGCTGAAAAAATCAAATCTTCAGCTGCTAATCAAGGAAAGATGGCGAGGAAATCTCAACAAGCAGAATATGGAGAATGTGATTGAGTAGATGATGGTCCCAGTGTTGACCGTATTGATATTGAAGCCCAGGTCCGCAGGCAGGTTATCCGAGATAGCATTAGAGTGGTTGGTGCGGTCCATGTTGAGCCTGGCGTCGGGGATTTAGAATATCTCCGGA